CATGTTTGGTAAGGTGGAGGGTCAGAGAAAAAGAGGAAGACCCCTCCAATGAGATGGACTGGCCAAGTGGCAGCATCAGTGGACTCAAGCGTGGCAACAGTAGTGAGATTGGCCCAGGATCAGGCAGTGTTTTGTTCTACTGTGCATAAGGTCGCTATGAGTCGGTACCGACTTGATGGCACCTAACAACAACAACAATAATGGGCTAAATATTCAATGTCATTGTTGTCGTTGTTGTTGTTATGTGCTGTGGAGTCGGTTCCGACTCATAGAGACCCTGTACAGGAAGCATCAAAAGAAGATTGAAGGAATACAGAGTTACTGTACCAAAAAAAAAAAAAAAATTGGTCAACATTCAACCATTTAAGAGGTGTAGCATATGATCAAGAACCAGTGATAGTAAAAGAAGTCTAAGCTGCACTGAAAAGATTAGCGGGAAACAAGGACCCAGGAATTGGGTTACCAGTCGAAATGTTTCAACAAACTGATGCAGTGCCAAGAAATCTGGCCAACTGACTGGAAGAGCTCCATATTTGTGCCCATTCCCAAGAAAAGTGACCCAACAGAATGAGGAAATCATTAAACAATACCATTACTATCACATGCAGGTAAAATTTTGCTGAAGATAATTCAGAAATGGTTGTGGCAGCACATCATCAGGGAGTGCCAGAAAGTCAAACTGGATTCAGAAAAGAATATGAAATGAGCTGTATCACTGCTGACATCAAGTGGATCTTAGCTGAAAGCAGAGAATACCAGAAAGATTTTGACTTGTGTTTTATTGACTATGCAAAAGCATTTGACTGTGTGGATCATAACAAACAATGGCTGACGTTACAAAGAATGGAAATTCCAGAATACTCGACTGTGTTTATTCAGAACCTGTACATTGACCAAGAGGCAATCGGTCAGACAGAAGAAGGGGATATTGTATGGTTTGAAATTAGGAAAAGTCTGTGTCAGGGTTGTATCCTTTTACCACTATATGTTGAGCAAATAATCTGAAACTGGACTATAAGAAGAGGAAAGCAGCATCAGGATTGGAAGAGGACTCATTAATATCCTGAGATAGATATGCAGAGGAGACAACTTTGTTTGCTAAAAGGGAAGAGGACTTGAGGCACTTACTGATGAATATCAAAGAATACAGCCTGCGTTATGGATGTACTCAATGTAAAGAAAGCAAAAATCCTCACAACTGGACCAATAAACAACATTACGATAAATGGAGAAAAGTTTGAAGTTGTCAAGAATTTCATTTCACTTGGATCCATAATAATTGCTCATGGAAGCCGCAGTCAACACATCAGACCTAAACCTTGATACTTTCAATCATGTCATAAGCATGCGAAAGCTGGACAGTGGATAAGGAAGAATGGAGAAGAGTTGATGCATTTGAGTTATGGTGTTGGCAAAGACTATTAAAAGTACCGTGGACTGCCAGAAGAATAAACCAATCTGTCTTAAAAGAAGTACAGTCAGAATACCCGTAGAATCCAGGATGGATGAAACGCTGCTCCTTGTACTTTGGACATGTTATCATGGGGGACCAGTCCCAGGAGAAGGACATCGTAGTTGGTAAAGTAGAGGGTCAGTGAAAAAGGGGAAGCCCCTCAAGGAGACGGATTGACAGAATGTTTGCAACAATGGGTTGAAACATAGCAACGATTGTGAGACTAGTGCAGAATTAGGCATTGGTTTGTTGTGTTGTATATAGAGTTGCTATGAGATAGAGCAAACTCAATGGCAACCAACAACAGCAAATAGCTATTTAGGCATTGGGCTGCTAACCACAAGGTGGTTAGTTCAAACCCACTAACTGTTTTCCTGAAGAAGACGGAAGCTGTCTGCGTCCATAAAAATTTAAAGGCTCAAAACCCTTACATATAGCATTGTTAGAACTCAGAATTGGCTCAGTGACAATGGGTGGAATCTCTCGTTCCAGACTTTAATAATATATGTTTAAAAGAATTTGGTTACGAGAAAGTGGTGGTTTCAAGAAATAAAGAAGTTGAGAATACTAGAGGATCTTAGAGGAGAGATGGGCTTGCTAAAGTAATAGGGAAGTTTTCACATGCAAATTGCCATTGACTTGGTTCCAACTCATAGCGACTCTGTGTAGGGTTTCTGAGGCTTTTCAAATCTTCACTAGAGCAGAAAGCCTCATCTCTTGTCCAGAGAGTAGCTGGCAGGCTCAAGCCACAGACCTTCTGGTTCACAGTCCAGTGTGTACTGTATGGAGCCACCATGTTCCCATGCAAAGTATAGGGTCAGTGAAGAAAAGGAAGTTCCCTAACGAGGTGGGTGGCCCAGTGGCTACACTAACAGACTGAGACATAGCACCAGTTAGAGTACGGTGCAGCCCACCAGTGTTTTCATTTCAGTGTGCTAGGGTTGCTCTGAGTTAGAACTAGCTTGATGGCACCTAACAATAACAACTTACAACGTAAGTTTTTATTTAGTTAATTAATTAAAACACAAATTTTGAGCTTTTGTCATATCTTAGTCTTTAACTCTCCTCTCTTCCTTGTTTATCACCATTTTCTTCCCATGAACTCACCCATTCCTGACATTTCAGTCAGATTTTATAAATACGAGAGTGGCTCTCAGTATGCAACAAGTGCCTAACCAAATGAGAACTCCAACCTTCCAGACAGGCTAAGTGACTTCTGATTGATGGAACTCACTCTTTCAACTCCTCCCTGTACCCTAGCTGTCCTGGGACCATGTAGAGTGAGCATAGAAATGGACACGGGGTTCCGGCCACATAGGAGAGGACCAACAGCTCTGTGCTGTCTATAGAGGCTGGGCTACCAACCCAGAAGCACTGGGCTGCTGAAAGGACAGCCACAGACTTTCCTGGTCCCTCTGTCTCAGATGGCTGGACAGTTGACCCAACCGGAGCATGAATCCACAGTTCCAAAGTCTTTTATTAAAAACGCCCGAGTAGACGTAGATGAAGAGCAGTTAGGATTTGATTTCATTTATTGTGTGTACTTACTGAAACACTGTCCCCTCAGAGAGACCCTCCGCGCGGTGCTCCACTTGCTGAGGAGCACGGGAAACACCCAGGTGGAGTACATCATCCGGATCATGAAGAAGTGGGCCAAAGAGAACAGGGTGCCCATCTGAGGCCACGTCAGACCAGCGAGCCAGTCACCCTGTGGGCACAACACATGGAACTAAGTTGAATGTCAGACGCAGGGCTCCCTTTGGTTGGCATTGATTGCCCTTCTCTGCTCTCCAAGCCTCAAAGGTCAGCGACTGACTTGCTCAGACCTGCCTCCTGACTGAACTATGGGCTTCAGCCTCCGCCACAGCCCTGGGTCGTCCTACCAGCAATAAGACCTTGGACTTCTCCGGTGCCTTCCTTCCAAAATCGCTTCGCGCACTCAGAGGCCATGTGCGTCCTTTCCAAACAGTACAGCTTTTCTTTATCATGCTGCGTGGTGTTTCCTCCTAGCGGCAATAACAAACGTCTGTGACCCTCAAGGGTCACCATGTTCCTGCCACCTTACTGAGAGCCATCTCTGCACATTGTCCCACCTCACTGGGGAGCTCTGTAAAGGGTTTGTAACGCACCTCTGAAGCCCGGGAGAACTGAGGCTTCATTAGCAATGACAGCTGTCTAATTCGGAGAGTGGGCAGTAAGATCCTCTGTGGAAGTCTCTGGTCATTCATTGATACTGGCTTTGCAGGGTGACTTCCAGTCATTCATGGTAATAGCAACATGCCACTCTCTATACAGTACAGTAAGATGCGGATTGCAATTATTATAAAGGGGAGTGCTCAGGGGACATAGCTATGGTTTAGCAGCTCACGGACTTCCGGAAACAACATGTACACATCTCATTCTTCACCTCTCCCTGGAGGTTAGGTAACAAAACAGGTTCAGCTTTGTCCTAGAGTATCGTGCTGAATAAACATCAGGGGACACAGGTGCATTGGGGACCCTTAGTGTGATGGCAGGATGTCAGTTAGGTCAGGTCTTTGGAGGGACCCCTCCTGGCGTCTTCCAGCCTAGCTCCAAGCTCTCCATGCAGACACCTTCTCTACAGCTGAGCACCCTTGGCTCACTGGCTATTTTCAGAAAACAGAGCCTCATTTCTACGCACTTTGGTTCTACACCACATTGTTGGGGTTTTGTACATGAGTGTAGCGGGCCCAGTGGCACAGATCTGGAGAGCGCAGAGCCACCTCTTCCTAGCGGAGCACAAATAGGGAAAGAGGTGAAGGCATGTTCATAATTCTGGAGGCACTGAACACAGAAGGATTCCTGCAGGCTTTGCATCCAGCACCCCACTTGTTCCCCAGCCCCTGACGGACAAAGAAGCTGTGGAGCATGGCGCTGGGCACATGACAGGGGTAGAAACAGCCAAGGGATAGGGGAAAGGCCTGGGCCTTTGGGCCATTGTAACAGGCCTTGCTGCTCCACTCGGGAGGTCAGCCGGCTTCCGGTCTTTGGATCGGACCCCGAGGCAGTCAGTGGGGAGCCCCAGTCTGAATGCACTAGCCTGCCCCACTAGCCACGTCTGAGAGACACCAAATCTTCTTTGTCCTCATTGTTGACAATGGCTCGTTCCTGGCATTGTAGGTACGAGCTGGGTGGGACGGGAGCAGGAGCAGCTGCAGTGTTTAGAATCACCCTCGTGATCCTCACCTCATCAGCGCACACGTGGGGAGAGACAGACGGAACCCCCTTTGTGCTGCTGCCGTGAAGCCTCCAATGACTTCTCTCCTCTTCACATCTCCTGTACTGGGACCACTCTTCCAGCAGGTGGCTTTGGTTGAATTTAACACTTTAGATTCCTTCCTATCTCTCGTATAAAAACCGATATTCCAAAAATAGCAATGCCAGGGATTTTAGACCATTTTTACAAGACTTACTCGTCTATGGGCTCAGACCAGAATCCATGAAGAGTAGTTTAGAGTGGGGAGTCCTTGCTGCCTGAAAGGCACTGGCAGTGTCTCCAGGCTGAGGAGGAGCACGTCACCCGTCCATTCTTCCCAGGATGACCCACGGGAGAGACGACGGTCCATGCTTGTGAGGTCATGTGTACAGTGCACAGCTCCAATGCACTATTTAGAGTTGGTAGCGTGTGTTTGTTGCAAGTGGAAACATCTTTTATAGTTATTTTTGTACTCTGAAAAAATTACTGTATTCCACTGCAATACATTCAAATTACAAGTTACTTATTTTGCTCTCATGATGGTGTCTGCTGCATTTGTCTCTCCTCCCTTCCTCCCTCCACGCCCCCATTCTTTCCTGGCCCCAGAGTGGAGTCATACCAGTTCCTTCACACCTACCAGAATGTCGCGTACCTTGAAAGCAGAAACTACCCCTCCTCTTCAATGACCCATGGAACATTCATTAAATCTGACTGGACACTAGACCACAAAGAAAATAACATCAAACTCTGATACACGTGCTTACTATACACATCAACAGCTCTTCAGAACACTATGGCTATTAGCTTCCTTACTCCAAACAACTACCTCATAAGGGTGTGTATTATGAGGCCCATTTTGCAGATGAGAAACTAAGGCATAGAAAGTTTGCACTGAGGACACCTTATATGGAGGCAGAGACGATGACATGGAGAGATGGAGTGGCTGGGGAACTCTAGACCCAGAGAGGGAGAGGGTCTGTATGCTGACAACCAGGGGGCAGGCTTGCGGGGTATACCATTTGGTTGGTTGATGATGTGTGGAGGAGATTATAACCAAGGCAATGTAATGATATGTGATAGGATAAATGTAAAGCTAACATTCTCCCATGTAAACTATCACATAATTCACAATAAAACATTTAAAAAGAAAAAAAAGTTTGCACTGAGGCCACACAGCTGAAGAGCAACAGAGTTGGGAGTTTGAGTTCAGGAAGTCTGATGCGTAGTCTCCTTAATTACTAGGCCAAAGAGTCTTCAGGGGGGAAAGAACCACCAATGCAGATGATTTGTAATCACAATGCCAGTAAACTAGAAGTGAAGGCAGTTCCGGGTTACTAACATAAGACAGCTACTACTTACCTGGTTTTTTTTTTTCTTTTTCCCGTTCATTTTGTAGAACAATTGAACCAACACCTAACAATTTCTCATCTCATTCACCTTCACTTGAGGCACATGAAGTCTTTAAATCTATGAAAAAGTCTCGAATCTCTTCATGTGCTAAATAAGGCAAACAGAACCATATGCACCTGTTCCTACTTACCTACAAATACAGCTTAAAGACACACTTAGAAATGGATCTAGTTCATAGACTACCTGTATAAAACTAGAAAACTTAAGAACCCTGCCATCTAAAGCTTCAAAGAATGTAAAACCAACTAACAAGCCAACCAAAATAGCAAAAACAAAAACTCTTATCTTGGGTAAAAGAAAATTAAAACTATATCCAAACTGGATTAGTTAAAACTCGGTACAGGACTTCTGACAAGATGGCGGACTAGGCAGACAATCTACACAGACCCTCTACAATAAAGATACAGGATATCAAATGAAACGCAAGGAGGACAATCTTAGAACCTTGAGATTCAGAGGAAAGGTTAGAGAAGTGGACTGAATACCTACTGGGAGGAGAAGCTGAGCAGGAGAGTGAAGGGAGACTGGTGAACAGACTGCTAGCCAGACTTGGCTCAGCCATCTTGAATCTTGGTGAGCAGCTTTGGAGAGACAGAAAAATAGTAGCTTGACTGCAGATTCAGACAGGTGATGGAAAAGGTGTGATTCCTTCTTGTTCCCCACACTCTCCTGGATAACAGAGGTGAGGCCAACCCCCACCCTCATCTAGCCCGAGCACAAAGCCCACTCTCTGGGAGTTGGGAGCCAGTGTGAGGCGGGTGCCCGCTGCACCACTTTGGTGTCTGGATTCAGGTGCGCTCTGCTCCAGAGATGTAGAACCCTACAGAGCCTTCAGGCCAGAATTAGACTAACAGGGACCTTCATAATCAGCCACCCTGCCCCCAGCTACCCTCTGGTTCTGACAGACACTGAAACTAGCAACCTGAATGAAGGGTCTCCACAAACTACTTCTGGATTGGGTGTCCTGAACACAGACAGCACCTAGGCCTATAGGAACTCCATCTAGGGCTGGGAACTCAGCCAACACATCCCTCCTCCACCCACCTCATGAATTCCTTCACCAGCAGGAACCCTCAGGAGTTTTCTCCTCTCTGTGTGCTACAACTGCACTGTATTTTTGTCTGTTTATTTTTCCTTTAATTGCTTTTGTTGTTTATTCTTTCTTCTTCCTCTCTTTCCGTTACCTTGATTTTATCCTTTCTATCTCTGCTTTTGTATTTTCTTCTATTTCTCATTTCCACCCTCTCCTTTATTTCCTCTTGATTTTTCGTTACTGCTCTCTGGTATCTTTCTGTTTTTTAAGTGTTTTCTCTCTCACACTCTCTCTTATCTTCTTTCTTTGTTTTTTTTTTTCTGATACAGCTCTATTTTCCTTTTTTCTCTTTTTAGTTATTCTTCTCTTCTTGTTGCTGTTCATTTTTGTTTATTTTTTCCCCTTTATTATATTCTGTTTTCACTGTTGTTTGTTTTCTGTTTTCTTTTCCTGTGAGTGTTTTCTCCTCTTGCCTATCTGATGGGAGACAGCAACGATGCCCATTCAGCTCAGCCACAACTATACCTTCTGCAGCTTCACCCACTTGATAAGAGCCAATACCAGCTCCTATGCCACTTAATCAACAGTATACATCAGCCAACACCAGGCAAACCCACTCTAAATTGAGCTTCACAAATGGCAAACAGAAAATGGTGCTCACTGTTCCATTCTCTAAACATACCAACCAGGAGACAGAGACAAAGAAAACACCAACATACAATCATCAATTAAATTAAAATGCAACACCACAGTGTCTCAGAGACAACAGAAGATCTTAGCTCACACAGAGAAACAAAAGAGACTAGTTTAAACCAATGAGCAAGAGGCAGAGCCAGAAAATGTTTCTGAGGAAGAAAAGGTAATGGAACAACATGAGAAAGAATTCCAAACCTTCAGTGGAATGCCAGAAAGATTGAGGAAAGCAAGGAGAAAAAATTTAGAAGAATTTAGGAAAACACTACAAGAGCAGTCAAAATAAATGCAAGATTCGAAACAATACAAAACCTATAAATAGAAAT